TTTTTTTTTTTATATATTTGCAAATCATATATAACGGCAAATCAACAAACAAATGCCTGGTTTGCTTGTTGAACAAAATGGCGGATTTGCAGATTAACTAGCAGTGTAGCAGATTAACTTTGATGGACTTGAACTTGAATTGTGTATTGGTGTTTTTGCGGGGTTGAAACAACATACCTTCCATATATATTCCTTGCTATAAATAGTAGTAAATATTAAATATTTTTGCAAAGGGTCACAGTTAACCTTCATGAGGACATGAGAGAATATTTTTGTCTAACATACGGTGCACAGAATGTTGTACATTTCTTCAATTTAAATAAATAAATTTTATACAGTGTCTAGAATAGAAGCTTACATGCTTAAATCAAATTAATAAACATATATACAAATAAATTAATTTAAAAAAATTATATAAAAATAAACATCTAAAATAATTATCAAAACAAATGTCTAAAATATCAACTTAAATTAACATCTAAATAAATATAAAAATAACAAAAAAAATAACAACATCAACATCTGAATATCAAAAATAAATATGTAAATATTTAAAATATCAAATCAAACAAACCAAACAAAAATATCTAAATAAATAAATGCATCAATAGGAATTTGTGTATTAACACTAAGCCCAGGTTAATTTTCCTTGTTTTAACCCACACACCATACAACTGGTCAGCTAGAGTTCAAACGTGAAATCAGCTGCTGCTGTGAGTACTGGGCGTCTCATGTGTGCATGTGCTGTCAGTTGACTATGATGTGCTTGTTGCTCACATTTAAAACACAAAAGAGTGATGAACTTGTATTGTGTGCTAAAGCTCAATTGAAACAAAAGAAACTCCATATTGTTGAAGAAACATCTGGCATAAGCACAGCCACACATGGGCACAAAACCAGAGTTTACTGATTAAAATGGTGGGTGTGTTTGTGTGTGTGACAGAAAGAGAGGGGGAGAGATAAAAGGACACAGCTGGATTGACTAGTTTTCTACACAGTAAGGGCCATCAACGTGAAACATGACTGTCTGGTGGGCCAAACAATGAGCTTTCTGCTG